TCACCTCGCCTTAAGCCATAAGAAATGGACGAATCACAGCCGCTTATTCTTCTCGGATTCGACTGTAATTGGTCAATTTCTTACGACTCAAGGATTAAAACACCTATTGTAGATCCGGATTTAATATTCCATTAAATTTAAAGGCACTTATAAATTTTAAAAATAATATCGTTAAGAATATAATTTTAACATGTTGCGCAGAGAAAAGATGACAAAGTTCTACTAACAATAGCATGTAAATTCAGAAACTGAAACAACTTAGAAATGAAACAAGTATTTGGGAACAAAGTTATTATTTTCAAATTAAATACATCATTGTTTAATAAATCTAGCTTATTAAGATTCTATAAGTTTATTTCAGTCTTTCATAACCAATAAAATTAGAACATATTTTGTAAAACTTTATAGTATAATTTTCTCTTAATATTGAGTCGAAGGAAAAGTTCTGCTGTATTTTGTTAGCTCAAAATTACATATACCACGACACAGAAATAATAATACATATTTATGAACGCACCTATATTGTCGGCTAGAGTCCTAGATTTATCAGAGAGGCGCAACCAGCTTAAGTCAGTACGACAAAGGTGCTAAGGAGAATACTAAACATGGCCGACATGCTACGAAACTGCCTTTAAACTATGTCAAACAAGATAAGACGTGTAGGATAATGTGAGATAGAATGTATAGGATAAAATGAAATAGAATATGTCACTAGTACTATAAATGGTTGCCAAGTCACGCAATTGGTTAGATTGCAACAGCAAATCAGAATGCATAACACCGGTTGAGCCTCTCTGATAAATCTAGGACTCTATTGTCGGCAAAGAAACGTACCTTGAATCTTTTGTTAAGCCCAGACACAAGCTTTTGCATAACGCATAAGGCATAGTGCATAAGCGAATCAACCAATCAGAGTCTCTTATTTCCATCCCCACTTCTCGTTCTGTAGATCTTGCATAGCGTATAAAGCATAAAGGCCGCAGCACACATTCCTCCCATTCCATGGAAAAGAATAATTTTGATTGGTTGATTTCTTTACCCCGGATCTACAATAGGTGTTTTAAGCCTTAAGCCATAAGAAATTGCCCAATTACAGTCGAATCCGAGAAGAATAAGCGACTGTGATTCGTCCATTTTTTATGGCTTAAGGCTTAAAACCCTATTGTAGATCCAGTCTTATGCACTATTATGCGTTATGCAAAAGTGTGTGCTGTGACGTTCTGACTTGCGGCTTATTGTAGAAGGCCTATTAGACGCAAGACGTCGAAAAATCCGTAAAGACGAACTTTATATGCTATGCAGACATCTTAAGCAGAAGGAATACGAAGAATGCTCTCATCCTAGCCTGTTCTAACTTCGAAACGTGTGATAGATAAGTACGTTTAGACATCCCAGATAGGAATATGACGTATTTGTCATTATTTATAAAATTATATAATATAATGATATTGTGTAATTATATAATATCATCTTATTTCCAATTGAGACATTCCAAATAGTACAAGCTTATGTACAAGCTTGTGCGTTGCTACACGTTACGCTATGCGTTATGCCTTATGCATTACGCAAAAATCTGTGCTGCGGTCTTTAAAATTGGAAACAAAATAGACACAGGAAATGGGCACAGGCAACAGGGAATAACGAGCCGTCCAATCAGAGCTTTGGGGTATAAGTTTGATATTATATCCCAGAGCTCTGATTGGACGACTCGTTATTCCCTGTTGCCTGTGCTTATTGCCTGTGTCTATTGTGTTTCCAGCTTATGTGCCAAGGCCTTTAAAATGGCGATGACGACCTAACCCAACTGACGCAATGTCACATCTCTGGCACAGTATATACAGTAGCGCAACTCTCCCGATTTTATGTTGGCCAAAATGGAGTGCGCATGCGTCAAATAAGCAAGTTGCCCCGTCTCATTTCCTCCTTCTTTATGCTCTCTCTTTCTATTGAAATGACCGTTTCAATGTTCCATTTAAAGAGCTGAGAGTAGAAATTTGGAGGGAAATATAACGTGCAACCGTACATCGTCCATTTAGCGAAGTGTTGTGTAAGAAACCTCAAGAGACTAGTCTCGTGAAAAAGTGAAATAAAGTGAAAAAGTGAACAAAAATAAAGAAAACCGAGCAAGAAAGATTTCTTTTTGAGAGAATAGTTAACCTATATAACTATATAGGTTAGCAATTCTCTTGGAAGAGCACTTTGATCTTAGCTCTCTGTTTCAGGTGCTGTGTCAACTCCAAAAAATTGTAAAGAAGAAGAACAATATAAAATGATTAAAGAAACAAACATATGGTGTGCAGTACCAGCGTGCACAAAAAAATTTAATATAGAAGAGCGTCATTTTTTCCGATTTCCGAAGGAACATGAAAGGTATGTTGTTTTTATCATTTTTTATATAAATCAATTTTCAATTCTATGTACATCGTTATTAATAAAATATCTAATTTGTAGATGGTTGCAATAGATACAAGCATGTGGAAGACTGGACTTAGAACCAAAAGGTATATGTATATGTCCATTTTTTGAACATATACATATATATAAATTTTTTTTTATATCAACTCACAACATTTTTATAGCATATATTTACAATTATGTAATATTTTAATACTTCTTTATATAAGTACATATATGTTTTAAAAGTAATTTAATATTTCTCCTAATTTTTCTACATTTTCTCTTTATTTTTCAATATATTTACAATTTATTTTTATTAATTTTCATTAAGTTCAGATTATTTCATTGCAATAGATTTATTCGCGTTGCGTGCTCTAATTTAACTCTAATACGCTCCTATAACAGCTCTTACTTATTCCAACGCATTAGTTGGAATGCGATGCGAATAGATCTAGTCAGTTTTGACCTTTGACTATATACCTCTGGACTGCTAGTTACCCCCACTTTTCCTACCTTTTCCATAAGATAGAAAGAGAAGACAGTGTATCCAAGATCTCAGAGCCATCAGGTCCGGAAGTTGCCCAAATCAAGAACTAACTAGCTGCATTTTAAGTAAGAATCGGTACGAATAACTCCGAATAAATAATTGAAGTGATCCAGAAGTACTGCTAAATAAAAAATGGTTCGTTCTTGTTTTGCTAAATTATGTAATAATACCAGATACAAAGCTGTAGGAGTAATTAAATGGGAGGATCCCGTTTGCCTACAGTTCTGATTGTACACACCATTCATATCAACTAATGCCTAGTAATTTTTTACTGTTTTGCCAATGAGATTATTTTATTTTTAAA